CATTTCGAACTCCATTGCCAAGAACTGCCCCAAGGCTCTGGTGGCTATTATCACCAATCCCGTCAACACCTGTGTGCCAATTGCTGCCGAGATTCTGAAGAAGGTAAGTTTTGCTTAACTCGACCACATAAGGAAGGTTGTCACTAATTGTGCTTATGCAGGCCGGCGTGTATGATCCCAAGCGCTTATTTGGTGTCTCTACCTTGGATGTGGTACGTGCTCGTGCCTTCATTGGTCACGCACTCGGTGTTGATCCCCAGAGCGTGCAGATTCCTGTGATTGGAGGCCACTCCGGTGTCACCATCCTGCCAGTGCTATCGCAAAGCCAGCCTCAATTCAAGGGCAACCAGGATGCCATTGAAAAGCTGACTGTGCGCATTCAGGAGGCCGGTACTGAGGTGGTTAAGGCTAAGGCTGGTGCCGGATCTGCCACCTTGTCGATGGCCTATGCTGGCGCTCGCTTTGCCGGCTCCCTTCTGAAGGGCCTCAATGGCGATAAGAACGTTATCGAGTGCTCGTACGTGCAGTCCAACATTACTGAGGCGACATTCTTCTCCACGCCGTTGGTGCTGGGTAAGAATGGTCTGCAGGAGAACCTGGGACTGCCCAAGCTGAACGACTATGAGAAGAAGTTGCTGGAGGCTGCCATTCCCGAACTTAAGAAGAACATTCAGAAGGGCATTGACTTTGCCAATGCTTAAATGTTATCAGCTCGCAGCTACACACTAGCCAGTCAACCAGTCACTCGGCCCCACTGTTTCCTTCATTAGCTATCATTTAAAATTCATGCCAGCATTGGTTATTTACTTAACAAATTAGATCTTCTTAAGTTGAAAAGTGTAAAACAATCGTTTGTCCAAAGATTAAAATGCAAACCGCTCACCATCTTTCAAAATAATACTGATACTTATGTACTTTCAATTTTTGGGAATCAGTAAAAATATGTTAGATGACATATGGATATAATATTTGAAAATTTACGTTTAGCATCAAGAGGGAATGGTTTTATCCCAATAAATCAGGATTTTATATACACATATAAATATCTAGATTATTTTCAATCTTTTAATAAGTTACCAAATCGATGCAACAAAGAGCTATTTGCCTCGATAGACTAATTTGCTTTGATTGATGACTATTGTTACTATGAAAAATATTCTTCAAGAAATGCGATATATAATTTAATTTGGCAATAAACAATTCGCAATAAACGTAAATAACCTTATAGCATATTAAAAATTAATATGGAATATTAAATTACGCCAAAGGCTGTAAGCTCACAGGTTCTGTTGATGGGATACATACATAAATAAGTTATTTTAGGTCATGATTGTAATTTTTAAAGCTAATTCTTCATTTAACGATTTTTTCACAAAAATTTTATTTATTTTATTTAATTTATTTTTGTTTAATTAGCGAGGTTGACTTTGACTTACAAATATAAATTTCCTCCTGTCTTCTAGTAATAAATGACAATAAATATAATGAAGTTTGAGTATGTGAAATTAATTTTTCTAAAAGTTCAGCTTTCAGTAGCTCCTAAACCAGAATATTCCCTAAAGTTAGTCCTTTTGCGCTAAATATATAATATGTGTATGCTTATTATTTTGGTTGCTTGTTACATTGAGATCAACTTGAACTTTATATGATTAAAATTAAGCATATGAAAAATATTCAGAAAATCAACTTTGTGGGCTTACATAATCAGGTTAGTAAAGCATAAAAATTTGAGTTCTCACATTAGTTACGTTCATAAATATATATACATTATAAATATATATATTATATGTATTAATATATTAAATCAGTGCAGCCTGGGAACGGATTGTCTTCAGTCGGCATATAGTAAGCTGACAACGTAATTGATAATCTAGCCACTGGCCAATTACGTAAGTTACGTAACTGGCAGTGTGTTACGTTGCTGAGTATATGTTCGTATTTACGTTAAATTCGAACTGCAAGTATCCAAATTATTTATAAATCAATCTACACAGTAATTCTTCATAGCTATTACTAAAGTCGAATTGGCTAATGATTCAATGATTATCAATGTATTAAAACTTATCTTAACATTATAAAATTATTTAAAAATGTATCAGGGGGTAAGTGTATTGAATTGCAGCAGCTCGGTAAGGGTATTGGGTCTTTAAGTTTTATTGTTTATTTCATTGATGCACAGTGCGAAATTCTAATCACTTCAGTTTAGGTCCGCATCGCCTTCAGCCAATCTGTGCCAAACAGTTTTCCTCAGTGTATGCGCAGCTCAGTCATGGGGCATACTATGTTTTCCTGAGGCTCACATACACACACCAATACACGCGCAGCCAATTAAGCTTCATTAAGATCAATTGAAAAACTTGCCCGCATGTCATATTTGCGTCTCTCTCCACCTTCCCCGCGATATGCTATGTTTGCCTGTATTTGTCGACGGTTTGTGACTAGTGCGTACACATTTTGGAATTCTTGACATATCGCATATTCATATTTATATACATATGTATGTGAATATATGTATGTATATACATATGTATATATTTAAATAAATTTTGTACATACATGCATGTTTCGTTGGAGATCGTAAAAAAACAATTGTCAAACATAAAAAATCTTTAACGTATCTTAAAGTAAACACATATAAAAATATTTTTGATTAGATCATAGATTGTTGAAATATAATTCTATTCTGATACTTTAAAATATAAGAAAAATTACTATCTAGATTAGATATCGCCATCTCACCCGAGGAATCAGAAATCCTGAACATAATAATATATTTCATTCTTCTTCTAATCTTCAAGAAGTTCAAAGTGTAATCGCTTCAATCTTCTTCAACAGATAATTTGACTAGTCTTGAATGACTGTAATACTGAATTGATTAACAATAATGTGATGACGTCTTTAATCAATATATAATACCTTCAATCAAGATAGACAATTTGATTTGCTAGTGGAGAGTGACCCAAGTTCCATATAACTCGAATCTATTTGACCAGCACACGCCCCCGACTTAATTATCGACGATCAAAAGGCAACGATAACAGCACCAAAACAATCAATTGATACAATTTCATTCATAAAATCTGATCAAAATGCAAGCAAAAATCAGGGAGCACTCAAACATGATGACGCTGACGACGACAATGGCGACGACGACGTCGATTCGATGTCTCCTTCTACTGAATGGGCACTGAGTGACCAATTGGTCGGAGCGTTTTTAATGAAATAATGAGCAGGAATCAATTTCAGACGCTTACTACATACATAACAAATACAAATACAATTTTGCCGGCCGGCCGGCGTTTTTCATTACTTATTGCACTATATATTAAAACAAATTGGTAGTCATGGATTTTCCAGCAGAACGCCCAAGTCCCAATGTCACTAAGTGAGCGAGCGAGTGAGTGAGTTTGTAAGCGACCTTGTACAATTTTATTTAATTACAAACAATTAAGCCACACACATCGGCCGAGCAGCCAAAAACGATATGCGACGCCCACAACGACAACAAAGTGCTATAAATTCAATTATAAATTAAGAACACAAATTTCAGCAGATGCTGCAATCCAGTTTATTCATTCATAAATCGTTCAAATTAAATTTAACGTTGATCGAGTTAGGTATCGATACCATTGATTAGTAATCGATGTCTGCTTTTGAATTTCTGCAATCACTGACATACATACATACATAAACAGTAAAGGACTTCATAGGCGGCAGCCGATATTTAAATATTTAAATATTATAGCACTGGAGCACTTTTAATTTTTATAAATTGTAATTTTGAATAAATTTGGAAATTGCATTACTAGATGGAGTTTCGTAGTATTGTTAAATTATAATTTAATGATCCTTTCTTTTCCTTATGTAAGCTTCCTCAGGCTTTCAAGAATCGATATTATCAAAAGAATTAGTAACGTCTTAGTGTAGTTAGAGCTTTCATTAAACAAATGGAGATGACCACTTAATTGACTTATCCTTTAACAAAGACTTCGCCGCATTTATATTTTTTCTCGTCAATCGTTCAGCTATCCTATAAATCTTTCAGATTTTGCTGCTATAATCACACCATTTAAGTAATCAGAGGCAAACACAGACTGCATCCACATCCACGTTGAGCCACATTAAATGGCGCCTTTGGCTTAAATAAGTCACAATTGTCAACAATTAATTTGAATTACGCGCGCTGTGTTGCGATTTTTTGTGATCCGAGAAGACTCCGACCCAGAGCCAATTACAAGGGCCAAGGCAAGCCAAGCGAAGTGGTTGTCATCTTTCATATGTATATTTGAGCTCCATATGCGCTCTATACGATTCTGATTGGATTTAATTTATTGGCGTGTTCTCACTTTCACTTTGATTGCATTAAGTTGTATCTGCTATATTTCTTACACCAATAACACGACAAATGGGTAAAAATAAAACGCTCTGCTTATATATCAAATAAAATTACTTCAAATAATTTATTCTTTTTTCGTTCATCACGGATACATTTTTTATATGTGTGTGTATATATATTGAGTAATATGACAAGCAGGTATAAAGACATCAAATGGCTGTAAATATCAAAAACCTTTAAATTAAATTAATTAATATTTTGATTTCGTGATTGATGTATTAGTATATAATACATTCCATTTAAAAAAATATGAAATGGGCTTTCTATTAAACAGGATAGGAGTTCCGCTATATCAAAACCCAATCTCACATTTAGGACGGGCCCACAATTATTATATCAGATTAAAGAAATTCCAAAAGGGGTTTTATTTAATATTAAGAGAATATGTTTTAGATAATATATGTAGATTAGATTGAATCTATTTAAAATGCATATATGTACACATATATTTTCGAATCTTCCATATTATAAAAAAAATTCTTGGGTCGTAACAGACATTGTGTCTTGTTAATGTTAATAAAGTTGGAAATATATGTAATATCATAGCAATTAAATAATAAAGGAAAAATAAATTTTATTTTCAAGCTAAATACATTTTCTTAAAAAATAGAAAATTTATTTATCATATTTATATTTTCTTAGTTTACAGAACTGTTTACATAATTCAGTGTTTATTAGATTAGTATTAGACCAATATTTATATAAGCTGCGATTTAGCTAACGTGCAAAGCACGACTCAAGTATTGGAATATTTTTAGAAATACATTTATGACCGCGAGTCAGCTAGGCAGTTGCCGTGTCTGAGGGCTGTAAATACTCTTATAGCTCGTGATCGTACGGGTCAGATGTCAAAGACGTCCGCACATCCGTTGTTATGGAGCCTGCGCAGAGTCTCATCATGTAAAGTGCTATGCTAAAGGGGGTAACAAGTGGACAGGCAACAAGTGGACAATGGGCAACTGCAACCCCAAAGTGCCATAGAGAATTAACAAAATATGAAAAACTATACATCTTTGTCATGTCGGGGCCTGGGGCCCGATCGACTTGGAGACATTGTCTCGTACCGTGGGCTGCGGATTTCGAAACGTAGCTGTTGTTGCTGGCTGGCTGGCTGGCTGTGGCTTGGAGAGCGTCTGCCCGACAGCCGACAACAAATAGCGACAGCAGAAATGGAACTAAAGTACAAAAACTATTTGATATTTTATGCGGGATTTTAAATTGATCTTAACGAAGCTTAATTGGATGCAACTGTATTGGTGAACTGCTATGCCCAACTCTGGACTCTGACACTACGTACATATATATGTATATGTACATGTGTGTGTTTGTGTGTGTGTGTGTTTGTGCACGCCATATTGGAATTTCGTTGGCGCAGATCACAATTACATACGAGTGCGAGGTATACGATCGTATATAATATACATATATACACACATATACATATATATGCATGCTTGTGTGTGTCTGTGAACGTAGATATGTATGCTGAGAGGCATGGCAAAAAGCAAAGAGCAAAATAAACAAAAAAAAAAAAAAAAAAAAAAAAAAAACACATACATATATGCATAAGTATATCGTAATACAATGTGATAATATTCAACTGGAGGATGAGAATGCTGAATGCTGAACGATGATGATGCCGAGCTGATGCTGATGCTGATGCGGAGTAGAGACTGTCACTGGGTTCAAAACAAATATGTGCAAGTGCGGCTCGTGTTTGTGTATGTTTATGCGCCTGTGTGTCTGTGTGTATCTTAATGGTTATGGAAAAAATATGAAAAATTGTCGCAGTGGCACTCGCATTCAACAACAAAAGTTTAGGCAGCGCAATTTGGTTTGTGTGACAAACTGTACCAAGTTTCACAAGTTGATGAAGAAACCCAGAATGCAAATCTGTATTTGATTTTAGAGCAGATCACTAAAATGATTACTATTATTACAAAAAGAACGTAGTAAAGAAAAAAAAAAAAAAAAAACAATTGCCAAATATTCATATTTCTTAAACATAAACATTAACCCTCATTCCATGACCTCTCATTAGTATTTTTTCCATCTTGCTATGTCTATTTAGATAATTAAGATCAAATCAAGACATTCAAGGTATTGATATAATCTCTATTGCCGAGATCTTGGCTACTCATTAACTCTGTCTGGATCCTTTGCTCCCTTGACTCATTGACTTTTTCGTATCGATCAGATGCTATCCTCGTTGACTCTTCTTAACCCTCAAGGCCTTGAGCCGGCAGGAAAACTCTCTGTCGCACACCCCACCCGAGGATATTCCCGCACCATAATAGTGCCCACATAATTGGCGCAATCGCAATGCAAAATGTTGTCTGATTATTCACACGCAAGCATTTACGGACTAAGGCTGAGTCGCATCATCTCTCCTACTGTGGGGTGGCTTCTTTCTTTTGCTCAACGCCGATCGCGTGTTTGTTTCCCATTCTCGATTCTATTTCCGCTGCCCGCATTTTGAAACCTGCAAAGACAAATCCAGACAAAAATGTTGCCCCATAGCGCGACCAAAAGTATCAAATTGTTGCTGTGAGATTCTTTCATGAGTTTTCTGCCGAATTAAAATGGGAATTTTTACGTTTAGCCTTAAGCGTGATGCGAGTTGATCCTGGGAACTTCAGGTTAAAGTTTTTGTTTCTTTTGCAAGGTCAATGCGGGCAGCAGCTAAGTTTATCGGCATCGGGATTGGGTGGTGCGGATTGATTAGAGCCTATAATAAATAGTGAGAATAGTTTAGACAGTTGATCAATAGAGCTCCAAGGAGATTAAAATGGGGTATAGTAATTGACACCTGGCAATAGATAAAATCAAAAAAGATTTACTAATTAAATGTTGTTAGGAGGTCACTTTTCCTACTCATTTACCAAAGGAACAGGGCTTTTATTTTTTCTTCACTTTCAGCGAACTCTTCCCTCCATAGAACCATCAGATCATATGTCACGCTACATTCTTCCATTCGAATTAGAGGCCCTCAATAAGTGCATATGGAATTCGTGTATATATATAGCTCTAAAGAGAGAGTCAGAACTATTTAAGGGCCAACGATTGGTGAACTTTCTTACTGACACTAAAACTAATATCTCTTCCAACTTACACAATTTACTCCCGCTTTTCCTCCCCGGTCGAATTCCTGTCGTGAAATCTTAAAACTTATACCAATGACCCACAATTTATTGACTCGTAAGTGCCCGCCTGTCCGATACCAGCATTTGGCCAAAAGGTCGAACGCGCAACCAAACGCGCGCCAATCCTCCAAGGGTGAGGTTTAGCTTAGGGGCGAGGGTGACACGCGCAGCAGCAGAGATATAGTGAAACGGGGAGCGAGAGAGGGAAGGAGATGCCCTTGCAAGCGTGCGACGCGATCCTTGAGGTCATGTGGTGGTAGGAAATAACGATAGCAACGCGACCCTCATGCGATCGTATGGCGTGAGAGAATTCCAATTAGAATAGTTCATAACGTTGTATAGGGATTCGTTTTGACCAAAGCTAATCGACAGAAAAACATTTGCAGGCATGCAGGCAGGTGATCAAATGCTCATTATTTAAATAATGCAAAAAAGTAAATATAAAATAAGGATATACATTATATTTGTTGACTATGGACAATGAGAAACATCTATCACACTTTAAATTTTATTCTTATACATATTCATTATATAATCTATTAATCATTATTAAACGATGGCATGATTATTATGAAGACAAATATTCGGAATGCTATAATTCAAAGTGTATTTGAATACTAGATTCTAATAGAGAATGTTTAAAAGCTTGTAAGCAAATACGCCCTGATACTAATTTTCCCAGGATATTTTGATCCTGTTCGTCAGTTCTGCTGGCTCCTCTCGGTTTCGAAAAAGTATACGTATAATACCCACTGGGAAGTGTCGCGAACTGGCAGCGAGCAGATTCTCAGGGCAAAACAAAAACCACACCCCACGGCTGCAAAGGCAAACCCAGAGCCAAAGGCAAAGGCAAAAGCAAAAGCAAAAAGTCACACGCGCCAGCATAAAACACAAACACAAGCAACACAGCCGGTATCTCGCCCAATGCTCTCGCTCTGTCTCTCTCTCTCGCTCTTCCGTAGCACTGCTGTGGCGACGGCCATTGCTCGTCGCTGATTGGTCGAAACTGGCTACGCTGCGTCGCTGCCAGCAAATTGGTATAAAAGGGCAATCATCGCGACTTGTGTGCTCAATTAAGGCCACAGGCACAGAGTCGAGCGGTTCGTCGTGCACGGAGCGAAATCATTGCAGCGAGTGAGTGAGTGAGTGTCGCTGCAGCATCATTCAACAGGAGTGGCGCATAAGTGAAGGCGAATGCTTTTGCGCGTGCGCCAAAAACTAAATGCAATTAATTCATTTACTACAATTAGTGATCAGTGACAATTGATTTTGATTTTGATTTCATTTTGTGCGCACTTTGATTACCGACTAAATGGATTAACACTTGAACAACCTATCAAAAAGAACTTTAGAAAGTGGTTTATTGTGCGAGTGCGAGTACGAGTGTGTGTATTTCTGACTGCGTCCCTTTAAAATGGAGCACGCCACCTTCGATGATCAAATCTTTGGTGACTTTAGCGGCGGCCCACTAAGTCCGTTGGGCGCCAGTAAACCATTGCTTCCGACTTCCACGGCGACGGTCACTCACAGCAGCCTGCATCCCGTGATGCTGGGCAGTGTCGTTCACGAGCTGTGCAGTCAGCAACAACAGCGGCTGCCCGATTGCAACACTATTTTGCCAAATGGTGGTGCCGGCGGCGGTGGCTCTGGGTCGCCCAACTATGCGCAGAAAATGGACTTTGGCAATAAGCTGGGCTGCTTCTCGCCCAGCCAAAAATACGAGTACATGACAACGCCCCAGAAACTTGTGGACCAGCAGCAGCAACCACAGCAACATCATCAGCATTATGCCGTAACGCCGCCGCCTCCACTCTCGCATTCCCACAACCACAATGGCATGCTGCACCACAAGCCAAACCAGCAACAGCAACAGCAGCAGCAGCAGCAACTGGTGGGCATTATGAACGACTATCATGCATTAAATGGCAAGTTGGATTACTCGCCCAAGGATCCGTACGAGCCTCAGCCGCAGCATGTTCAGCTGCAGCACCAGCAGCATTTGTACGGCGGCAGTCCGCATCATAGTCATGCGCATGGCCACGGCCATGGCCATGAGGATGCCAGCAACGGCAATGGCAATGGATTGCTGGAAGCGACACCGCTGTTACTCAGCAACACGTCAAATGGCAAGCATAAGAAACCGGAGGATATGTGCGTCCAACTGGAGAATGGGTCGTCAACGCCGAATGGCATCAGCAATGGCAATCCCACCAGCAACGGCAACAGTGCCAGCAGCAACAACAACAACAGCAACAATAATAGCAGCAACAGTTCCGTTGGTCCTGCCACGACTGGAACGGGGTCGGCGAGCACAACGGTTGGTGGCGTTGTCGCTGTTCCAGCCGCCAAAAAAGACAACAACAAGAAGAAGGGCGATCCCAATGGCATAAAAAAAAAGAAAACGAGGTAAGTGCTGAGCCGACAAAACTATTTTCAATTAACTTAACGACGGGAAATCAATGAAATTATTTCACAATTTATATATCGCACAATGGGGCGTATACTTAATGTGCGCGCTGCCAGAGTTAGCAACCGTCCTTATTCGTGGACGGCAGGGGACACACTGAAATGTGACTTTACTGCTTAAACAATAACTAAATTTATGATGCGGTGACTATTTCGATTTGAATGAACTTTATTCTAATATCATCTATTAATACGCAATCTAACCCTATTTGATACAGATACAGACACAAATACAGATACAGATACAGATACAGATACAGATACAGATACAGATACAGATACAGATACAGATACAGATACAGATACAGATACAGATACAGATACAGATACAGATACAGATACAGATACAGATACAGATACAGATACAGATACAGATACAGATACAGATACAGATACAGATACAGATACAGATACAGATACAGATACAGATACAGATACAGATACAGATACAGATACAGATACAGATACAGATACAGATACAGATACAGATACAGATACAGATACAGATACAGATACAGATACAGATACAGATACAGATACAGATACAGATACAGATACAGATACAGATACAGATACAGATACAGATACAGATACAGATACAGATACAGATACAGATACAGATACAGATACAGATACAGATACAGATACAGATACAGATACAGATACAGATACAGATACAGATACAGATACAGATACAGATACAGATACAGATACAGATACAGATACAGATACAGATACAGATACAGATACAGATACAGATACAGATACAGATACAGATACAGATACAGATACAGATACAGATACAGATACAGATACAGATACAGATACAGATACAGATACAGATACAGATACAGATACAGATACAGATACAGATACAGATACAGATACAGATACAGATACAGATACAGATACAGATACAGATACAGATACAGATACAGATACAGATACAGATACAGATACAGATACAGATACAGATACAGATACAGATACAGATACAGATACAGATACAGATACAGATACAGATACAGATACAGATACAGATACAGATACAGATACAGATACAGATACAGACACAGACACAGATACAGATACAGATACAGATACAGATACAGATACAGATACAGATACAGATACAGATACAGATACAGATACAGATACAGATACAGATACAGATACAGATACAGATACAGATACAGATACAGATACAGATACAGATACAGATACAGATACAGATACAGATACAGATACAGATACAGATACAGATACAGATACAGATACAGATACAGATACAGATACAGATACAGATACAGATACAGATACAGATACAGATACAGATACAGATACAGATACAGATACAGATACAGATACAGATACAGATACAGATACAGATACAGATACAGATACAGATACAGATACAGATACAGATACAGATACAGATACAAATACAGATACAGATACAGATACAGATACAGATACGGATACGGATACAGATACGGATACAGATACAATTACAGATACAATTACAGATACAATTACAGATACAATTACAGATACAATTACAGATACAATTACAGATACAGATGCAGATATAATTATTATAAAACTTCATTTAATCATTTAATCTGTTCTTTTACATTTACAGAACCACCTTTACGGCTTATCAACTAGAGGAACTGGAGCGAGCCTTTGAGCGTGCTCCGTATCCGGATGTGTTTGCTCGTGAGGAGCTGGCCATCAAACTGAATTTGAGCGAGTCGCGAGTGCAGGTTTGGTTTCAGAACCGACGGGCCAAATGGCGCAAGCATGAGCCGCCACGTAAGACTGGTTACATCAAGACGAACACACCGCCGACGGCTGCGCTGAATAGCTCATTGGCTCCGCCTTTCGCCAGTTTCCCGCAGACGACAACGGTCACGCCGCCGGGCAGCATGGACAGCTGGACGAGCTATCAGACACCCTACGAGCTGAGCCCACAATTTAGCCTACTCTCGCCGGCGGCGAGTCCCTATGGCACCTATTCCGGCCAGTACGGCACCTATGTGCACGAGAGCCAGCTCTTTCCCATGCGCCACTTTGACTACGGCAGCCCGCCGCGCATCGAGATGAACGGTACCGGCGGAGGCGGAACAGCCAGCGGCAATCCAGATACTGGCGATGGCTACCAGACGACAGATCTTCAACAGCAGCAGCAGCAGCAGCAGCAACAGCAGCACCTTGACGGGAGCACCAGCACCCAACTGATTACTGTGCACCAGCAGTTGAATGGAAAGTATCTCAGTGCCGAGGAGGCTAAATATGTCCAGGTGCAGTGCCAACCGCCCACGGGACTGGAGGAGAACACAGCTACCTGCCACATGGATGGGCATCACTATGTGGCCGCGGGGACAGCTGCATCCGGCAGCGATGACAATGACAGTGCTTTGCATACTGTGATCAAGAGCGAGGAGGCGGGCGTTAGTGTTCAGCAGCAACAGCAGCAGCAGCAGCAACAGCAGCAACAGGCGCAAAGCTATGTCCTGCCGCCTTTTTTGAACTAAGAGAAATGCTCACACATCGACGTCAGCAGCGACGCTTCGTCCCTGCCTCTGCCTCTGTCTCTGTACTCGCATCAGCACGCTTCAAACGGCCATTTTGATTTCATTCAATTTCAATCAAATCCATGCTGCCCGAAATTCCGTGGTATGCGTGTGTGTGCGTGTGCGTATGTGTGTGTGCAGCATTTCCAAAAGTTTTCAAGCTATAGAAAATACCATAAAAATATAGAAAATATGGCAGCAATTAGCAGAATTGCTGCCATGGGTTCCTTGTAATTTTAAGCATAGTTAAGTTGACCGACAACAACAACAACAACAACAAAATCAACAAGTCTTGCCAAAACTTAATGCTTTTTATTAGCCTTACTATCAAAATTATAAAATATATATATCATACATTGTTGGCTTTTCCCAATCGCCAACATGTACGGAATGCATTCCAAATGTGCCTTATTAGCAGTAACCAGATGGATGAGACAAAGCCTCTCGCTTTCTCCCGATTCTGGTTCATAATTATTGCCCCTAGTTGTATGTATAAATGTAGTATATCAAAAACTGTTGTGTAGATAGACAATAAAGTGTTTGTATGTTTGTATAATTGGCTTATAGTATATAAACAAAACCAAAAAATATTTTAATACATATGGTATATGAATCTTAGTAATCTAATTTCGAGTTTCAGTTGCTTCAAGTTTTCATTAGTCTAAGATCTAGCTTGCTTCTTAATATGAAATACTCTAGGATTTGCAATGTATATATGCATAAACAAAATAATACATTTATATATTAAATAATAAAGAAACATATTTTGTACCGCACAGAATTCATGTCAAACAAAACTATGAACGGAAAACAGAAAACAGAAAACAAAAAACAAACAAAACATCAAAAATCATATATGATTAGATCAAAATTTTCTCTTATTTTCAAACATAAAATTAATTTTGGTTGTTTTCAAGATTCTTCAATTTCCTCAAATCGCCTTAATATTTAAATAATAGGGCAAATTTGGAAATTCGATTCGTTTGGTGCCTCTTCGTCATACGATTAACTAAGAAGAACCGTTGCCTTGGTCCAGAACTGTCTGCCAATCGACGCCTTCAAAAAATGGATGTGCCTGCAGCTGTTCATAGTCCAAGCGCTGCTCCGGTGACAATTGAATTAATTGCTCTAGCAAATTTCGTGCGTTATCCGATATGTCCACAACATCTGACGGATATTGTACACATCCGTAGAGTTCCAGATGCCCGGGATGCATTACCTTGTACGACTGCAACAACCAATCAATTAGAATTGAAACAAAGGTAAATCGAATGGAGTAACTTACCACGCCCAATAGCAGCTGGTAGAGTACGATTCCATAGCTCCACCAATCTGAGCGAAGGGTAAGCGGTCGTTCTGGGGCCACGAAATGATTTTTTAAAGCTTGGAAACTCAGCGCCTTATGCACGTAGTTGTCATCAGAGGTTAGACCCTCGTTCTGGTAGAAGTATGTGAGCATCAATTGGCCAGACTTTCCCAGCAAAATATTTTCCATATGTAAGTCTCGCAATATAACACCCTTGCCATGCAGACTGTGTATAGCTACCGCCAGCTCGCAAGCCCATTGACGCAAGCAGACCTCAGGCAAACGCCTCGCCGTCGTCTGCTGTCGTCTTGGAGTCAGCGCTCCCGCCTGCAAGTTGCTCAGAGTATGCGAGACTGACTTAAGTAATTGTTGCGAACTGCGCACCAGCTCGGTAACATCACTGGCAACTGTCAATGGCTGTTCCGCAGGAAATAAGTTGGCGTAATCAACACTCTTGCTAGCCGTAGGGGTGTAGCTTTGTATGTAGTCGTAAAGGCGTCCACCCTCGGCCTGCTTGAGCAACAGGAAAATCTTCTGGTCCGACTGGAAGTAAGCCAGCAGTTGGCACATGTAGGGCACACGTTGTGGCAGAAAAATGCTTTGGGTGGGCGAATTGCTTGCTGGCTTCTCGATGCCCTTCATTATGCACGTTGGCCGCGACTGCGGTTCTGTGATGCACTGCACCTGCATGACGCGATCTCCCAACACTTTCAGGACCTTGTACTTAGCCAATTGATTCCAGGCACATTCTAATTGCGTTACACTGTCGACTTCATCTAGAGAAAGTTGAAATTGCAGCTTCCTGTTGCCATAACGAGCGACATCGGAACGCAAGAAATTTGCATAAATATCATCGGCACGCGCCAAATATTTGGCAATCTTGGCCTTGGCAATAAACTTGCGATCCTCATTACTATCACATTTAGAGCCCACAAGCAAAAGCTCCACGCCGCGCTTGTAACGCCTATGAGCATCTTCATACTCCAAATTGACCTCCGACTGTACAGCATGACTGAATTCCAAGGCCGCCTCATAAATGTAGTCGCTGTCTTCGCTCTCCACCGAAGCCATAGGCGTCAGCAGACGCGTGTAGTCGCGCTTAGATTGTTGTTCCTGTTTTTCCACAATCTTATCTACACTAAGCTGCTCTTGCTCTTGCTGTTCATTTTGCTCGCTATCGCTACTAGGTTTGTCACAGCGTGGATCCAAGAGCACCATGCCATTAGCGTCGTGTGGATCGTAGGGCAAATCGAGTTTATCGCAAATTTCAGCTATTGCACCGCTGCCAGGTATCTTGAGTGAGCGCTCCACATACAATTTTCGTAGCGGTGATGAATTTGGTGATTGCGCTTCGCTAAAGAATTGTGTGAAACTGTTGCATTTATATAGCACCGGATGCTGGGCGGCAAAGTCAAGTAGTCTGAGTATATAGTCTTTACGTAGCTGTATCACATCCTCATCGAAACGTTTAAAATAGCTACTGTCTGTTGGCTCGGGCACTTTACCCGGCAGCTTCATACTTTTGTGCCGGCGACTGAGTTCCCTATGCAGACGTTTGACCTCATGAAATCTTTTCCATACTACAAGACACGTTAGTGCCTGAGGCACCGAACGGGGGAAGACCTAGCAATAAAGTGCTTAATAAGGTTTATAGTACGTACAAATCAGAAATACTTACAATCGACGTAATCTTGTAAATAGTATAGCCTCCCTTGTGCTGTTGCGTATCAGTTACTGTGAAACTGTGTATCCATCCTCCCAGATTTAGGGTCATCGTAGCACGAGAAGATATAAAATTCTTTTATTAATGAGTTTGATTTGATTTGGTAATGGAGCCCAATTGTGGTTGCACAAACTGCTAATTTTCTCTTTTCGCTTCTGCTGTTAACTGATTTTCGTAAATGTATATTCAAGTATGCATTGTACGTAAAACATCATAAATTTTCTTTAGTAATTTCATGTTATATTGCCTAAAATCTATCTTCGGCATCTTCTTAAATTTTTTCCATTATTTTTGTGTTGTTAAACAGAACAGATGGGAAGGAGTTATAACAGACAGACACAGTAACAGTATCGAGCATTAACATTTTCCTAAATGTAAATAACAGTGGATATTTAAAAGTTCGCCAAATCCTCGGACAACTAAAAAGTCATCAAAGCATATTTATCTTAACTCAGAATTATATATTTACTTAGAAATTATATATTTCAAATTGAACGCCAAAAAAATTATAAAATAAAATATATAATGAATAATTGGTAGACTGGATAAGAAGGCGCAGATTAGACTTTCTAAACTATCGAAAAATATGTTTACCTAAATAACATGGAAAACTAGTGCTCAGTATATCATATAATAGGTAATGAGACAAAAAATTATAATAACTCTTTTGTATTATACTTTTATTTATATTTTTATTTGGAAAATACAAAGAGTAAATACACTCGATAGTAATCGCTAATGTACCAGCAGACATTAATATATATACCGAGCAGTACGTTTTGTAATGATAATAAATGCCATGCACAAAAGCCGGCTAAGATGTATAATTTTTTTAAATATTAAAATTCTTCTATCATATATAATTATAAAATTTTGTCGTTACACACTTTACTTATTTATCGTGCGATTTTGTCTCTTATCGATACTTTAAATATGCGTTCATCGCTACTAAAGAGCCATCTTTTTTTGCCGCGCCTCTGCCTCTCATTCTCAGAGACATTTTTGAGCGACCGACGACAAAGTAAGCGTTTAAAATCAATCAAATAATACAAATTAATATCGTCTTGTGACAGTGTGTGTGGAAAGACAGTTAAAATTATAATAAGTTTTAAAAACTGAAGAAAAAAAATAAAATAAAATAAATTAAGACGCACGCTCGCTCTCAGTGTATAAATTATTCATTTTACCCCCAAACGTTCTTTACTGTACTCGCAGATTCGTGTAGCGTCCACGACGACATTGAAAACGGAACGGCAGCCGAACCGAGCGTGCGAGTGAACTAAGCAGAGCGCTTGTCAACTCAAAAAGCAGTAGAGAAAAAGAAGGCGACGAAGACAGCAGCAGAGCATAATCGACGCCGCACGTACCGGGAGCATTTAAAATAATTTTTTCTGTGGATTAATTTTACTAAAAAGGATTTAAACACAATGACTGAACGTGAAAATAACGTCTACAAGGCAAAATTGGCCGAACAGGCCGAGCGCTACGATGGTGAGTACGAAAAAGGGGGACGAAAAAATTTTTTTGTCAGCGGAGCGCCAAGTTTTGGGGAGGGGTCCAGAGACATTGTCGTCGCGTGGCCTGCGCTACGTCAAAAATTGTGGAAAATATCCACAATTTATACAGCGGGTGACAAGAAAAGTAGAAATTATTAATTTTGCAGACATGTGTAGGTGCGCCCGTCTGCCATACCATAAGTATAAGCAGAAACAGCAGCAGCGTCGAATCGGCGTCGCCGCCGCATCCGATGAGTAGTGTTTCTGCGAAAAGACCGAATACCGAATGAAAAAGAAGATGACGAGGAGGCGAGGCAACGCTGTTGAAAAGAAAGACTGTGAAAGAAACATGTAAAACAAACCTGATTTTTACCGGCAAAAATTCGCGTGGTTTTCGTTTTTGCGTTGGCCTTTACAAAAAGGCAACTTTGTTGCGTATTAATTTATATGTATATATATTTATATATATATATATATGTATTTAGTAGCTACTTAACTAAGAAAATATTTAGGATGGGGGGATTTTTCAAGTTGAAATTTTGTGTATTTAGTGTTCGGCTATAGGCGCGCAAGGGCTGCGCAACGGGGAAATTACATCGTTGCTAAGGGCTGTTTTGTAGTTGCTTTTGTGTTGCCAAGTCAAACTTAAAGTAAAGTAGACAAAAGGAACATGCAACCGTAAAGGAGTAACAATTAATTGCATATTTAAATATGTTAACGGTTTGCCTTTGCTTGTATTCGAAATCAGTGGGGGACGAAAACTTCGTCGTTCTCTTGTTCCTTTCGCTCTATTTCTTCGGCACTTAAAATGTGCTTTTGTTGCGCAGCAGCAAGGCGGCGACGTCGTCATCATATGCCGTACTGCGAAAAATCGATGAATGAATCGATTGTGTGACTGGGGCCTCACAAATCGTTGAAGTAACGATCACCGACCGCTGCTAGACGTTGGAGATTTTTTTTTTTTCAGTTTTTGTTTATTATACGAATTAGTGATTGTCCCTTTTACTAAAACTTTTCGAAAAGAACTTTCTCGCATTATTTAAGGGCAGGAACTTGGCAACTCTGCTTCATAGTGCAGAAAAGAAAAAAAAATTTTGCACTAGCATTACTCATGCTTCTGTGCGCATGTGTGTGTACATATGTATGTATGTATGTGTGTTTGTACGTCTCAGAGAGGCATACGCACGCACGCTAACCGCAACTATCTTAACTACTCACACCATCCCGGTCGAAAATTGTTGTTGTTGCTTATTTAATTAAAAATACTTCAATTAATTAAAATGCTACGGCTGCTCAAAATGCAAAACGCTAGGCAGCTGCCGTTGTTTTTGGGAATTGACTAAAAAGCGCGCGCGCTCAACGACGTTGCTCAAATGTGTTTCCGTGTGCGTTAAAACGAGATAACTAGTGTTGCTGACACAGACACTGATGCCTCTTCTGCCCCAATACAGTGGTGGTCAGAAGTTTGCTAATATGTTTCTTGTATTCGGACAGAGGCAATAGCTGTAGTAATTATATCTAACAATTTTACTAGCAATTGACAGGAATACTGCCAACACTTAACACAGGCAGTTTTTTTTTTTATCTCCTTCCCTCTCGCCGTTGCTTCGCAGCTCCAAAGAAGTCAATCAACTATTAGCAGCCACTGCGGTCACGCACACAGGCATACTCCTCGCACATACACATGTGTACATTAAAGTCTGTATCACATGTTTTTCTTCTTATTTTTGCCTGCGTGAGCTCCAAACTGTCCTCGTCTGTGTATTAGTGCGAGCACTTGGCGTTGGCCTTGTCGCACTTGCGACAGCTTTGGTCATGCTGGAGAGACTAACACAAATGCATTCCAGGCAGCCGGCAACGTCTGGCTTGCTTCTCCTCTAGACCCGCTTCTTCCCCTACGAAGCTCCTACACAACGCCAACTTTTACCCCTTTCCCCCAGCCCCTCCATATACATTAACGTCAGCAGCGGTAGTTAGCCTTTAAGTGTGCTTTCAGGTGCGGACTGCTGCTGCTGCTCCCGTTTATTCTAGCTACGTCTTTTCGAGGTCGCTGCTGTGCACTTTTTTGTTGACGTTCAGCTTAATGTCGTCAATAGAAAACAGAAATACAGAAGAAGGCAGAGAGAGTTTACAAAATGTTACAGATTGACTGTTTTACATGTTCTTGTTTTAAGTTTATTTTATTTAAGTATTTTTATGCTTGAATATTTATACTTTTCTAATATACTCAGGCTAATAACCTGATAGACACGCAGATGAGTAATGAAGAAATTGCAAATACAATACAAATAGGCGTATCCATGTTTAAGCATATTTTATGTCTTGCCAAGCTCATCAGCAGCAACCGGAGCCAAGGGTGTATCGCTCGCATTAGACATCCTTTTGCAATGTACCTTTGTTAATGGCGTCACAAATATTGCCAAAGTTTTAAACAGCATGTTAATGTGACGTATATGGATGTATATGATGGGTGGGTGTCTTGTACATATGTGGGTGTACGGGTGTACGATGAAATGGGGCGGCGGATTGTTGATTTTGGCTTTTTGACATATTTTTTTGCTTTTGCGTTGTCATGCCGTGGGAATTTCGCTTTAATTATATGGTATTATATTATCTGGGCTTGTTTATTTTTTCTACAATTCCACAAATCTATATTTTGAAAAATTGGCATATTTTTGGTAGGCTCATAGTGCTAGGTGTTGGAAAATGCGTTACGATTCTGTGCCAATGCCAAACAACAATTTGAAGTTCACTGAAAAGTAGCAACAACAAGATGCGACTAAATTGAGCACAGTGAATCACACAGGCAACTTTATTTTCGAATTTTCACAGCTACGTGCTGCAACAGTATATAAAAGTAAACGAAAAACAAAGCTCCCGCTGTTTGAACGTAAAAAATCATGAGGGGTATGATGGGGGCGGCGTTCATGCTTAAATACATACATAGTCATATACATATATGTTAGCAGCTCGCAACTAGAGAGGGAGAGAGAGAAAGACTGATGAAGAGAGTAGTGCAGGCAATGTCAAAATGCCAGAATTACTCTATTTAGCACCGATTTGTTTCTATGTGTCCTACAAATATATATACATATAATTAACGTGTGTGTGTGTGTGTGTGTGTGTCAGTTGAAATGTTATCAATACGCACACAAAAGTAACAACCGACTCAAAAGTTGCAGCTGTATTTCGAAATAATTCAGTCACTGCAAATGCATGTGATTCATGACGCGGTTTTGAGCCGATGACGCCTTTCGCATTGTTGCCTAGCCTAGACAAATGTGCAATAATGTGAGTGACGAGGTGTTATTTTCCTGATTTTTCTTATCATGACTCTCCATGACAAAATTGGCCTAAAGCTGGCAAATAGTAGTCACAGGAAACAGCTATGTATATATCATCTACCTGAGTGTGTGATAGGTTATGTCATTAAAGATTGGGAGTTTGTCTACGCATAGATAGCGAATATGCGAATGTGAGTGTGGATAGCCGATAATATGGAAAAGCAAACAACTACAGTGGATACTAAGTTGAGGTAACTAATGATAGAATATTTATTTTCAGCATATCACAAATTCCGGCAGTGATTATATAAATTAGCATATTAGGCGCCTAAGAGAAATTTATTAAATGTATTTTGTTTATTTGTTGTGCACTTACAGAAATGGTGGAGGCCATGAAGAAGGTCGCTTCCATGGACGTTGAGCTGACCGTTGAGGAGCGTAATTTGCTATCGGTTGCCTACAAGAATGTAATCGGAGCACGTCGCGCTTCATGGCGCATCATTACCTCCATTGAACAGAAGGAGGAGAACAAGGGCGCTGAAGAGAAATTGGAAATGATTAAGACCTATCGTGGTCAGGTGGAAAAGGAGCTGCGCGACATTTGCTCGGATATATTAAATGTGCTCGAGAAACATCTCATTCCATGCGCCACGTCCGGCGAAAGTAAAGTATTCTACTATAAGATGAAGGGCGATTATCATCGTTATTTGGCCGAATTCGCCACCGGTTCGGATCGTAAGGATGCTGCTGAGAACTCGCTGATTGCCTATAAGGCAGCAAGCGATATTGCCATGAACGATCTGCCACCAACACATCCCATCCGATTGGGTCTGGCTTTGAACTTCTCGGTAAGTTAAATAACGCAGATAATGTTTGATTGAATATCAACTCATTAAAAGCGTTTTTTTTTTATTAATCTTAGGTGTTTTACTATGAGATTCTCAATTCACCGGATCGCGCATGCCGCTTGGCGAAAGCCGCATTTGATGATGCCATCGCTGAGTTGGATACGCTAAGCGAAGAGAGCTACAAAGACTCGACACTGATTATGCAGCTTCTGCGGGATAACCTCACATTATGGACGTCCGATATGCAGGCAGATGGTGTGTAATCGCCTCATAAATGATATTGATTTATCATATATTATTCACTTCCATTTGACTAATGTAATATATATTTTTGTCCTTTTTAAATATAGATTCCACAACAGGTGATGGCGAACCCAAACAGGAAATTCAGGATGTTGAGGATCAGGATGTGTCGTAATTTAAGTAAACCCCCGCCCTTCCATTTAAAACACAAAACAAAACAAAAACATATACCTTCTAAAGTAAATATAATACATATAATATATATGCATGCAACAATAAAAGAACACGCGCAACCGGGTAGTAAACAAGAATAACAACAAAAACAGCATCATCAGCAACAAAACATCAACAGCAACGATACGCGACAACTACTCCAAGGGCAGCAGCAACCACAGTAAAATATAACAGCAAAACAGAAAGAACACGAACAATAATAACAACAATGGCAACATCTACATCAGTAGCAGCATCAGCAGCAGCAGCAATACCCACAAAGTACATACAACAAATTCAGCAGAAAGCGGCACAAAGTGAGGGTGGTAATGGGCGTGGCTCTTGTTGGGGCTAGATTTAGGTGCAGCCATCGTCGTCTTCGCTGTGGAATGCGAATCTGTGCCCTGGCTCCCAAAGCTATACAGCAGCAGCAGCAACAACAAGCAACTACTACATTTGAAATTTTTTGCATTCGAGAAACAAAAGCATTATATTATATTTAAATAAATATTATATTTAATTCTGAGAAGCGAAAACAAAATAAACTCATTTCAAACTAAATACACACACTCGCACACACACACACACACACACAGTAAGCAAAACGTACATTTCATTGAAAGTTGGCATATTAATCATTTTACAATCTTATCAGCATAAAAATGAGAACTACACATAAAATTCACATCTTCAATTTTAATTTTAAGCCAGTCATAAAAGTAATGAAATGAAATAAAAGGAAATAACACTCAAAAATAAAAATACAAAAATTAATAAGCGCAAATTGAATTAAAGCGAAGCAAAGAAAATCGTAAAAACAAAATACCAAAACAACAAAATGTATGAAGTAAATGCATGAACAAAACAGCAACAATTAATTTTAATTTAATACGAAACGAAAAGCAAATGTGAAGTAAGAACGAAGTGAGCAAACAAAAACAAAGTCAAGCTTGAATAAGAATAAACTATGAGGGGAAAAGAAATGTTAGTTAAAGCGAAATTCGCACGAATAAATTTAAAACGAATTCTTAAGCTTAAATTTGTATGTATGTTAGTGTATTATTCAAAAGACACGGAGACACTGACACCGACACAGACACGAAATTCAAACACGGAGCAATCAATCACCATTTAAGTAAATAGAAGAGCTTTCTTCTTGGTTAACTATTTGATTTCTCTCATTCTCTCACCGCTCTATTGCTCGCAAGTAAAAGATTTAGGCGCAGTTTATGTTAGTCTTTTGATAAGTACAAGAGTTTGTTTAACGTTTTTGAATTCACTTCGACACAAACATTTCAAAAAACAAAAGTATTTGTAGTTGCTAAATAAATGGTACACATATATTTAAATATATATTGTATACATCTTAGTATATATACATTCAGATATATGTACTTGTATATTTTCTATGCCTACCACTTATGTAACTTGTAGAGAATTCGAATTCGAATATTTCCACATGAAAAGATCATCCCAAAATAACTACCTGCGACAAAATGTTTGCATTTAAAAACAATAATAAGAACAAGCCAGTAATTATATAATTTATTTTAGCTGAAAATGAAAAATCAGAAACGAAGTTTTATGTTTTCCCTATTTGTTGCTGCGTTCCAGGAAAACAATTTGACCAGAACAACAAACTTAATAACCAAATTGAAAAGCATTCCGTTTCAAAAACTTTCTGTCTGCACTTGTGAATGAGAAAATTTTATAAGTATATACCCGCACACATATATATATATATATATATATATATATATATATATAGGTGTGTGTATGTATTTATATTGAAAACGCAGCCGTGAAAACCCGAGCAGGAAATTGGAGCGTTAGGCAGCAGTAAATACTTAAATAATATCGAAAAACACAAGTTTCTTAAATGAAAAATGAAAATCAGCAAAACAAAAGCTAAACTGACATTCGTATTCATTTCAAATAAAAATAATTATTAAAAAAAAAATTGCGCATAAATTAATATTACATTGCTGATTGATTCAGATCCGCAGGGAAGGCATCGATATTTTATTTAGGGACGTAAGTAGGTGGGTACTGCGAATGTGTGGGCTACTATTAATTATATAAAGGAATTTTGGATTAAGTTTATATTTCATTATATTCCGGACAACTATTTGTGAGTGCATTTTTTTTTATATATAAAGGGCAGCCGTAAAAGTTAATATTATTCAAATTCTATTGCATATCCTACATAATGCTTAAATATGAAAGACCCTCATAATTAAAATCGCTTAGCAATGCAGATATTGTTTAATATATTTAATATGATAATTTTATTACAAAATTATTTAGCTTATTCAGGATTTGGTGTGGGACTTACAAATTTAAATTAATTTAAACATGGAAAACAACATAAATTGGCGTGAAGGGAAAATCATGGAACATGTGTCAATACAATGCAGTAGGACCGCATCTCAAAGTGCTCGAGTCTACTTCAGCTCAATGTCAAAGCCAGTGGCATTGAATACACTTGCAACTGCAGTGGAACTAGGTCTAGTGGCCATTGTTTGGGCTGTGTATGGCCAACCATCCGAATAGCCCACCACCACCACCGTCACCACCATCGCAAGCACATAACAAAAGAGGTACGCCACATACTATACGATACGGCATGTCATATGGCATATACAATTGCTTATATGTACATATATCTAAATATGAAAATCTAGGCAAATTGGCAGACAGCAGCACAAAGTAGAGAAGCCAAAAGGCCTAACGATTTATTTGCAAAACGTCGGTAGGTCTTGAGACAACAAAATATTGGGAAATGACGCTGCAACTGCAAATTGAGAAGTTGAAAGGCTTGGATAATTACAAAGCGTGGTCGATGACAGTGCGTGCGTATTTGGAGTCCGAAGATCTATGGACGGTTGTTGAGAATGGACCGGAGAACAATGAAGAGGTAGCTATTTGTCCAATATTCCATTTAGAGCTCTCATTTATTGCCCCAGTTAATCAATTGCAGTCACTGCTGAAGGATAAGAGAGCCAAATTCCTGATACTCTGCTTGATAGAAACGAAGCTGTGTCAGTTTATGGTCAGCATACGCACGGCCCGAGACCTTTGGAATTATTTGCGCACTCAGCATTCACTTCGTTAGGGCGTCCAGATTTTCTGTGCGAAATCGTGAAAAGAAACCAATAAAAATATGACATGTATATTGGCCCCAGCACTGTTTACCTCGCCTTATTGGGGCAGCTCTATTATCACGGGTTGTTCTTCCGGATCCTCGTCGAGTAAGCCCTCAAAATGCCAGTTTAGCTGCTTGACCAGTCTCTTCATAAGGCGCTCAGCGTTTACCATGAGACCACCAGCGTGGAGATTTACTAGCAGCTCGCGAACATCTTTGTAGACTGTGTTGTGCATGGTAGGCGCCATCAGCTCCTCAGGCAGATGCGGCAGTTGATGGGCCAGCACTTCGCTGTATTTCATAAAGGCTAGTTTGTATTTGCTAACAGCCGTCTCCGAGTGTGCCAGCAAGGCAAGCACCTTCCGCCAGTGGTCCAAAGATTCCACTGAATAGCCAACTAAAAAGAACACAAACGCCAGCTGCACCTCCTCAATTAGTGCATCGGAATTGTTTTCTAACTTTTCGAACAGTATGTCCACAGCTGCTATGCAGTCCATCGCATGTCGCGAAACATCCGCTGGAGGTGAATTCTGTGGAACACGTGTGGGCACAGCACAGAAACGTGGCGCAGTGCCCTGTACGGGCTTCAAGTAAGGCAGCATCTCACTCTCATCCAGCAGCAACTTGGCAGCTGTATTCCGTTTGCTGATGTTGTCCGCTCCACCACGTGGCCTGTCAGCATCCGTACAGGACTCTAGCTCAATGTTAGTACGAATTGTTCCCAATTCTGGGCGGCAGCGATTTACGCACGCCTCTGTAACGCTGCCAGTTAGATCTTTCCACTTACACACATAGCGATAGTCGTACGGGGCCAGAACGCGCTCAAGTTGTGCTAAGTTCTTTCTTATACGGGTACGCTCTAGCTCCGGATCTGCTGTCTGACGTGGTCGCAGCTCCTCCAATTCAATATCCCATTCACGTACAAGAATCTCATTAGGATGAAAGAAATGGACGAAGCCTACACGAGGCGCAGCGTCGCCATACGGACCGTGGGATGCGCACCACACATAATGCACACCTGGCGGTATCATTTTAACGCCACGAAAATCTGGACCAATGGTATACGAGCACAAGTCAATGCCAAACTCTGTGCCCACAGGAACGCCGGCTATGACCAAAACGGCGCCATCTGCTAGCAGGCGCAATGCTAATTCTGGATCCATTTGCATGCTGGAATTGTCCTTATTCATTGTAAATGTGTATCCTTGCGTATTTATTACTGTAATTCAAATATGAAGACAACTAGTTTCTCGCTCTGAAGGTATCTAAGTAATCGTTTACATTCATATGTTCATTTTGGAACATGTTCAGTGGAACTACTATTTGGTTTTTTGCTTGTATTTTAATTTTTGTCTAATTTTTACAAACACATTGCAGAAATGTAAAATGCACTAATTTCCTATCAAATTTTATTTAAATATATATATTTATATATATTTTAAGATAATTGAGACTGTTTTTAAAACATGAATGTTGTAAGCACGCCCGATAGGCTCCGTATTAATCGATAGTTTGTCAATTCTTAATCGATTTAACAAGTCTAATGAAATTCGAGACCGATAGAAAAGTTTTGATAAAGACGTTTGCTTGCTGTCGTCCAAGCGATCAATATTATATTTATTTTTCAGGCAATATTGCATAGGTTGCTATTTTCTTATTTTGCCGATAGACAATAGTCTTAATCTGAGTACGTCCGTTAAATTAGCTAGCAATCCCATATCATTTGTTTACGATAATGCTGATAAAATGACAGTAATTACGCTAAAAATGTTTTAAATAAATACAAGGTACAAATATTTGTAAGCTTAAAACTAATTATATGTATTATATATATTAGTTGATTTATTTACTACAAAATTAAGCAATTAGTACTGTAAACTGCGCTTAGTGCCTATATCGTCAAGTATCTGGCGCAGTTCCTCGTCTTCAAAGCGACCCTCCAAAGAAGGTATTAAAGCCTTAGCCTCTTCCGGCGCCTCCGGGCAGAGATTGCCCAGAGCGGCAAGTTCGAATTTGTGCAGTTTCTTTTGCATAAGTAAACTAGAAACAAGAAAATTGAATCAGAAGTTATGCTTATTGTAATGAGAGGCATTTTATGTTTACCTGCGTACGGACATAATGGTCTCTTTATTCTTGAATTTTCGAAAACTGTCTGTGTAGGCGTAGGTTTTCATGAAGACCTCTGAAAATTCCTGCTCTTCGTCAGCGGATTCATTTTGCCGTTTGCGATGATCCAGTAACATGTGCACCTCCGATATGAGCAGTGTTTCAGCATTCTCGAACTCTGAAAGACAACAACATGCGGTATATGAGAATAAATTAGATTGCGAAATTTTTCAATTCTCTTTGCAATTTACAAGTGAGATGCAACTGAATATAATGCTACAAGTTTAGCCAAAAGTATGAGGTCGAATGTGGCCATTTTCCACCAAGAAATCATAAATCTGACGCGTTTTGTTAACATCGATCTTAATAAGTCGCCGTGCATCGCCCAGCCTTAGATGCCCCAGCTTGGCTTGCTCTGCAATAAGCTGGTTTTTGTGCTCCAAATAGGCCTGTGGTATTAGACGCGCCACGCTACAAAGTGTACGTTCTCCTGCATCTAGCTTAGAGTATCCTGGCAGATCTGAAAAGAAAAATGTTGCTGTCAGTAGAGGTTTATGATAGTATAGGTTTATGATAGTTAATAATAAGCTTAATATTATACATGGCCAAAAGCATAAGCATGCATACATTCACTATACAAATGAATTTCTTATACATATATTTATATATATGAATATGTCAACATATTTGAATTGATTACCCGAAATATCCATTGGACTAGCCTTCCGACGCGGACAATGCATATACACTCTGGAGCTACTGCCTTGAGGCAGCTGGTCAACATTCTGGTTATTTTCGAAGTGGTGCACCAATTGCTGCCAGTCGTAAGCATCGTTTTGCCGTTGCCGTGCATAATCTCGCTGAGCCTGCTGGCGCTGCTTGTAAAGACGCGTATAAAGCGAGCCGCCGTAGAGAGTGCGCACGCCATGCTGCCGTATATCGTAGAGCCAGTGGAGTCGATTTTGTAATTGGCGATAATTGCGCAGCGACTCCACCAGCAGATCGAACTGAAAGGGTTTGCAAACTTGCATGAGGGCAAGGAAGCGCATGCAGCTGACATCGCTACGAAAAGCGCTCACATATTTGGTTATCCAGCTGACAGTGCGATTTGGCAGAATGAGACCATGGTCACGCATAATTTTGTAGCGTCGCTGGCGTTCTCTAAAAGTACATTGGCATTGGCTTGTAATTAAGGCAGGTTTCAATAAATGGGGCTGCTTCAAAATTACCTCAGACGATTGTTGTATGCACGGACTAGTCCACACTGCAGTGCCTCCACTAACTGCTGATCTGGTGACTCATCTTCAAGCTCATCATCAGCGTTTGCTCTTTGCTGTTCGATCATCACCGACAGCAGACCCTCGGCAGAGGAATCGTAGGGCGTGTCGAAATCTCCGCGTGCGCATCGATATCCTGCATTGATTTTAAACTGAATCGACGATATGTCATCGTGCCGAGGCGGCTCCAGGGATCGCATTTTGAATACATATGGCATGCGCTCGGGCAGGTAACAATTTCGTGCATGCTGCAAGCCGAGCAACCGCTCAAAGATGCCACCGAAATAGCAATCGTGATAGTGTCGTCGTACCTCCTCTGGTGAGAAACGTCGTTCAAGTGCATTGGCTATGGCATCCCAGTTGCCATAGCCATTTGTGTGTAAAGCTTGCAGCAGTGCACGCTCGTCTCGTGCCACCCAACCAGAATCGTTTGCAAACACCTGAATATCATCTCGAACTATAATGTAGGCATGGCTGTTGCGATGACTCCCGATTTCGCGACCTCGTGAAAAGCACTGCAAGCATATTAGGACGTCCAGGCATTCGGCACACTTGATATATGGCTCTGCGAGGCAACAGCGGCACATTGCACATAGAGTAGAGCCCGATGAGTGCTCGGCTTCGCTATCCTTATTCTCAACTCTGTCTACATTTTCATCGAGCTGATTGTGGAATGCAAGCTGATTATAATGAATCGTTACACACTTCGTTTTTCTATCAGCGCGGGCACGAGCAAACCTGGCAGATGAGCGCATGACCTCACGACTGTTAGCTTTCTCTGTAAAGAAGTAATTTAATGTTTGTTAAGGTGTACATGGCGCGCCATGTGGACCCCGTGGCTCTTGGTTTGCATCACTTGTAAGTTGCTAGTTGGGCTGCTGAGCCGTTTGTTATTGTTACCTTTTGGAAACTGCAGGTCTGCTGCATCCTCATCGACCATGTCCACTGGGTTCATAAAGGACATGTTGGTTCAACTTTATTTATAGGCTGATAAATAAGATTTAAAAATTATTTGCGAAGTTCGATTTGTTTTCACGCAATGCCGCTTTTTTACTAGTACTAGGGCTGCAAAAAAGACGCCTGCGATTGTAGCGTCTTGCAACACTGTTACTAGTTAGGGCTGCCAAATATTTTCTAGAGTCACTGCGCCCATAAAATACCAGTGATATGCGAGAACAATTTTATGTTATACAACACTGTCAATATTTAGCGGCATGCATTTCTGGTGTTATTCATATATTGAAGCAGCAAACGGTTCTGAAGCTATATTCGCTGTTGGAAAGTGATGAGCGACGTTGAGGTTGCGCCGCCCATAAACGATCCAGCAGAAAACCTTCCCAAATACTGTGACTTCTTTAAATATTTGCTTGTTGAGGAGCTGGTGCTGGAACCCGATTACCGACAGATCCATTACGGCAAGTGTGCCGTTATTGGACGCCTTTGTGCCATTCCAGATCATTTTAAACTGGAAAACGTGTCGATACCGCACCTGCCAAGGTAACTAACTACCTGCATATGCTTTTACACATGCTTGTACTCATCCTTCACCACTATATCACAGTGTATACAAACTGCCTACTGGCACTGTGTCCCTGCTCCTACTGAACTTCAGCTACGAGAACAGCTGCACAGGAAGTCTGGCTAACGGAGCGTACTGTATTATGCGTGGCGAGATTGTGCTATGCAACGTGCAAAAGCCGAATAGCCCCACTTTGACCACACGGGGTTTACACGAGCAATTGCTCCGATTGGACGACAACGGCAAAGAGAGGTCCACGTTATTAGAAAACGTGCAGAAAACTCACAAGCCTGCGCTGTACGTATGGCACTCAAGTCGGATTGACCAGGCCGAGGAGTTAATTCAACGTCGACTTGAGATTCGTGTGCTGTGCAAATAGACAGATATCAAGAAGAGCCAATGAAATGCATTCTCATTTTTTGACCACGTCACGCAGCAATCCTCAATTTTATACATTCTCTCAAGTGTTTGACCGGCAATCGGCAAACTTGGATCCTCTGTGGAAAGAGGAGTTACAACAATCGGCTTGGCTCAGTTTCTGGGAACGCGAAGGTCACGAGTTTCTGGAAGAGAAGTGGCACAAACAATATCCCGAATATAAGGAGGCAATCGAGTTAGCCACAGCCGAGGAACAAGCAGCTTGGCAAGAGTTGTGGGTAAAACACGCCCACGATCAAAGCGCACATTTCTGGCACATCTTTTCATGTGTCTTGGAGAATTACGAACGGGACTTGCATAATGGTCTGCAAGATGTTGGTCAAATCTTAAGCGATATAGACGATCAGTTTTCGTATTTAGAAATACATCAAACCGACGCCAGTACAGCAAGTACTGAATGCAGCGAGGCGGATCAGGAATACCTAATCACTAACGACGAATCTCTTGGCGAGGAGCAGCAGCTAAAACTGCTTGGATTACCCACATCTTTTGGTGCAAGGAGTACAAACGACCGACGAAAGCCAAAGCAGAAACTCCCAAGTGAATCTGAGAGTGAGAGCGACTCAAATCGTTTAAGCATGTCCAATGAAAAGGATGAAATTCAGCTTGACCTCAAGTCGCGGGCAATTAAGAAAACAAAGCGACAAAAAAACTCAAAAATCCCCCAATTTATGCGAGATGATAACCTTTTGCTTAAGTATTGGTTCAAGCGCTTCTCGCTTTTTTCACGCTTTGATCAGGGCATTCTCTTGGATCGCGAAAGCTGGTTCTCAGTGACTCCAGAGAAGATTGCCAAGCAGACGGCTAGGCGTCTCGCCAGCGACGTCATTGTGGATGCATTTTGCGGCTGTGGCGGCAATGCCATACAATTCGCCAACACCTGTGGCCGCGTAATTGCCATCGACATTGACCTAAAGAAATTGGCGATGGCCAAGCAGAATGCGTCTATTTATGGTGTGGCCCATAAGATTGACTTTGTGCATGCGGACTTTTTGCAGTTTGCCCGCACCACACGTTTGCGACCCGATGCGATTTTTCTGAGTCCACCCTGGGGTGGACCGGACTATCAGAAACAGCAAACTTTTGATATTGAAGAGAATTTGTTGCCGCTGGGCGCGAGTCCCTTGATGGAACATGCACGACGGCTAACGGAGAACATTGGATTCTTTTTGCCACGCAGCTCCAATATTAAGCAGGTGATTGCGCTAACGCATGCGGGTGAGCAGTGCGAGGTGGAGCACAACTATTTGGATACGCGTCTGGTGGCAATCACAGCCTACTATGGCAAGAGCTTGGTCATGAAACAACGGCAGAAGACTGATAAATGACTATCAGCATGAATTTGGGTTACATTTTAATACGTTGGATTAAATCGTGTTACATATAGCAAAAGAAGCTAATATCGATCAGTTGTACTACTTAATAAGTAATTTCTATTTCTTTAACTTTATCGAGCTTTAGATTTAAGTATGTAAATAGACTTTACTTACATAAATTAAGCACATTGTTCACTTTTTGTGATTAGACATAATTATAGTTTTTATACGTTGGATTAAACTGTTTGTGGCTCTTTCAAAGGTCTTAAATTCTATTGTAACCGCATTGATAACAATTTTACTGTGCGACTGCTGCGACTCTTTCTGGCAAATCCCGCTTTGTTGATGCACCATTCTGCTCGCAAAATAGTTGCCAAGTCACCGGGCAGAGCGTAAGGACTTTATCCAATTTAGACAGCTTAAACATGCTGTTCTCTCTCTCTCTCTATCTCGTTCTCTCCGTGTCCTGTGCAGCCCCGCTCAGTTTGTGTGTGGTAAGATTGCAGTGACCAGTGGTCATAACCGTAACGTCCCTCCTCTCCATTGGTCCGAATGTGACTTTTAATTAAAAACGCAAACGGAACTAAACTGGCGTCTATTTTTAAGAACTTTGTGAAACAACTCTAAGCCTGGCAACCGGGCGGGGGGGCAATTAACATGTTCCATGTCACAAAAGTTTCACATAAATTCCAGCGTAGACCGAACAACAAGGGCAACAGCAACAACCCTTTTCGCCGTTAACAACATACTTAGAGCATCCCTTGGGTGGGGCTGTATTTGCGGAATTTACAGCTACCTAAATAGCCAAACTCTGCTCTCCCTGGATATCATCATCAGTATTTTCGCTCCTGCTCCCTAATTAGTTTGATAAACTTATCACTCGCCCGAATGTAGCTTTAGCAATTTTAAGTGTATTATTTTGATTGAGTGAAATATTATATAGCAGTTACCATTATTTGTGATATAATATTCTTACATTTACTCATTAACTATAACTATTAAATTTTACTCATTAACTATATTGTTTTTCTTATTTGATTACTTTTGTTTTTTTTTTTTTTTTTAATAAAAAATGAATTATGATTAGGTGATTTTTTATATAAAAAAATTTATTTAATTTATATAAGTATACTTTCAGTATATTCTTATTATTATTTATTTTATTTTAGTATTTCCTCTTATTATTTCTACTAAGTTTGTCTTTCGAGAATGTCTTGAAAATATTTCCTCTTAATATTGCCTCTTAGTTTTTCTCTTAGTATTTCCTCTTAGTTTTCCTCTTAGTATTTCCTCTTCTTTATTTCCTCTTAGTATATCTCTATATCTATATATGTATTTCTTCCAAGCTTTTCTCACAGTCTTTAATGCTTAATTGAACGATTACTTCATGTCACTTCACTTTATTGCACTGCACGATTGACCCCCACCAGCCCTGGGCGACTGAAGAAGTGCTCCAGCTGTTGCCCTTTATATAGGGCGACTTTCACTCAGTCACTAAGTCACACTCAAATGTTGAGCCCGGCGCCAGGTAGAGATCGTGGTTGTCGAGCTTTCAGTAACCAATCCGAAGACTCTCTGCTGCCTCAAGCACTTTAGCTTCGTTCGCTTCGTAGGAATCGTTGCAGCCGAGCTCTATGTGAGCAATGGGAACACTCTCTGCTGCTCAGTCTAGCTTCGTAAGCTAAATATAAATATCAAATGAATACTACTACATACACCTAGACAATTTAAATGATCTTCTGTAGCTCTACTTTGTCCAGAGAGTCATATGGAGAGACAGATTGTGAATTAGACAGAGAGACGGACAGAGAGATGTACAGACATACATACAAACAGATATATAGACAAACACGCATAGTTAAATCGGATAACCTCATTACTTGTTACATATATGTGTGATATGCTAAATATTTAGCATATATACATTAATATTTATAATTATTAATTAACAGAAGAAACTACTGCCTACTTCTGTTATATTTTTCTCTTAGGACTTCTGCATAGTCAGCCTCAATTTCTGGCTTTTATTCCATACATATTTTAAAAAGGCTAGATCTAGCCTGAAATCGGCTAAACTGGCGACACTGATTGCAGCTTGTGTTTACTAGTGTATGGGAATGTGCTTTCTCTTGTGTAAGCAGAAAAGCAGAAGCGAAGTATTATTGAAATATCAGTCTCTCTCCCTGAACCTTATAGGGGATCTCGTAGTCAAACAGTGTCGACTAGAGCTATCTTACGTGTTTTATTATTGTGAAATAAAATTTAACAATTCCAATATACTAAGACCTTATTAATCTGATATGATTTACATAGTATGTGTATATAGATTTCAGGTTGTTTTACTCATAAATCAGCTCTAAATGAAAATTTTGGTCTGTTCCGGCTGCTCATCATGGTTAATTAGCTGCGCGCAGAGGCTGCACCTGCACAATCGCATTTTCCACTGTCTGTGGGCTTCGTTGACGGCCTAATCGCATTTGATATTGTCAAAACTTGTAGCACAAATAAACCACCCTGGCGTTTAGGTTTGGGCAGGAGCTTAGCCCTCGTCATCGGCAACATCGTCAAGTGGCACAAATTACAGATCAAACATGCAGTCAGAGCTGCAGTTGGACTTCTCCGACGGGGTGGGATGGTACGGTGCGGGACGGGGCGGGGAGAGGCGGAGCGACCATTTATCAAGACCGTTGACAATATTACGCTTAAAATTAAATAGCGTAATAAAAGGGTGACTTAATTTGTTTTTGCCCAGGCAGGCGCCACCACTCACGATTACGGGAGATGATGAGCTGTGAACACGTGTTTGCTTTCTAATAAAATATTTGCCATATAAACAACGACGACGGACCCAAAGGAATATTGCTCTTATATCCTTGGTCTTCGTATTTTATTATTGAAATCTGTTTTTTTTTTATATATATGTCAACCCCTCAGCAATTACGCGTATCTAATAACGGTACCAGACAGTATAGTCCTACATAGATTTAAGTAGCCGATAATGCCTCGATTGACGCGTGACGCAATTTGTTTGTCTTTTATTAACATTTACTTTTCTGTATAGCATTTCCTGACTGTGTGAATGAATTGTCCGAATCTCCTAGCGATTTTAAGCTTAAGCTCTAACAACAATTTCATTTAGATTTGAGCTTGAGTGCCAACCAGACAAAGAAGTCTATCGCAATGAAATAAATTGTTTTATATTATTTTTTTATTTATTTAACTGACATACAGTAAATAATCGTTTAGTCATATGAGCTTTACCTAAAATAATATGAGTGCTCTTGTTATTTACCAATCTTAGCTGAAGAAACATTATAATCTGATTGACTTAAGACATAAATCAGTTGAACTCTACCCATTTTACCCATATTGTATATTGATATTTGGGAGATTGTAATAATAGAATAAAATAAAAATACTTCAATACACATTAACATGCATGTTTATTTATTAATTAAATATAGATAATATTATTGAAGTATAAGTTCGAAACTTGTTGTATTTGTATTTTGTACACAATCTTGATACAAGCTTTGGTGTATATTTTACGCAGATCAACCGGTGCCTAGGGTATTCCCTAGTTGACGCTACCGACTAGAGATTTCTGACTTGTTTTAATAGCGTAATCATATAGCTGAGATATTTTTTCGATGCTATCAATGAAAGAGAATCGAATGGGAATGCATGAAACTATTCCAAAATGGCGGCACATTTGACTTATTGATTAACCGTTATTCATGGCTTGGGCATTAAAATTAATAAACGTTGCCCAATATATGTATATGTATATATACGTACAACCACAGCAGCAACAACAACAACAATAGTAATAACAATAACAATAACGCAGTGCCCGAGCACTTGCGTACAAACCAGCAACCACAACAATACCAACTTTGTCTCGGAGCAATAAAAAATGCCAAGTATATCCACAAAATAAGAGCAATAATATTTAATAAATGTGCACACACACACACACACTCACACAAACAATATGTTTTTACTTTGGTGGTTGAATACGAAAAACCATAAATAAATACAGGCGCGCAAACAAACACACACACACACACACATAAAAGCAGCGAGCGAGAAATAAGCGCATAAAAAGATTAAAACGTGTTGGCATCTCTGTGTATATACATACATACATAGGTAGGCAGGCAAGCTTTCTCTGTATGTGTGTATGTGTGTGTTATTCCCTTTTGGCTGAATGCTTGAGCAAGGCGAACAGGCGAGCGGGCGGCCTGTCCGACTGGGTAGGCATGGGCGCGCAGATAACTTCCGCATCCCTGGCATCCCCGCCCACGCCAACCCCCGACATCATTTTCCGTGGCATTTCGGTGAAAAAGAATGCTTTTGATCTTCACAAGCGAATGATTTTTAATATGACTTTTTGCTGCTGATGACGCTGAGGTCGTTCGACGCGTCGCCTTGTTGCTGCTTTCAGCTCCAAAATATGTTTCCCAAATGCTTGATGCAGGCACCGAGGCAGAGACGCAGCGAGTGAAGTGAGCACAGACAGTCAATCAGTCGATGTCCTTTTGCACGGAGTTTTTTAGCCCGCTGCTGCATATAATTAATCAGCTCAATTAAATGGCAATGTAATGCACTTTGGGACACACACACACACACATACAAGCACACAGAGAGGACAATCACATATGCGCACACATACAAACCCACACAGATGCATAACCGCAGCTCCTAAAATTAGGCTAGTTCAAAGGGTCTCATTTGCTGTTCGCTGAGGTTGGGAGCATAGCGGGGTAGGGGGTGGCATTTGGGCACAGGCATAATGATGGTAATTTGTTGGTTTGGCCAAAAGAGCAAACGGCACGCTTGGAATTTCAATTAATTTCCATAATTTCCAACGCTTTATGAACGAACAGAACAGAAGCAAGGCGAGGCGAGGCGAGGCAAAACAAAGCAAAGCAAAGCGAATGCGTCGCGATTACGAGGGTGTTTTTTGTTCAGCCAACAAAGCTGAGCTGAAACCATTGGAATCAAGGGCTCCTGTCTGCCTATCTGTCGGACCAGCCCCCTTCCCTAATGTGCGAGCGTGAGTTCGTCCCAAGATGAGCACGACCTTAAGGTGAAAGTTGTCCTTCTCTCATCATCATTATCGTTAGCATTATCATTATCATGGAGAATAGTATATACTAGTTGCAATCCAATTTTATTAAGACAATACGGACAGCTCAGGCTTTTGGCTAAGACAACCTAATTGCTAAACACGCATCGAACACATGTTACTCAGGTGT